CGCCGGCGCTGCCCGCCCAGGTCCTGCGGCCCTTCGAGCTGACGCACCGCGAGGTGGTGGAGCGCCGGCGCCTCCTGCTGGAGAAGGGCGCGCAGGAGCGCTCGCGGTCGGTGAGCGCCCCGCCTGCCGCCTGTCCCCGCCCCGCTGTCCCCGCGCCTCTGCGCAGGCCTAGCACGCATCCGGGCTCCCACCACAGAACTCCTCCGTGGGCAGCAGGGGTCTCCGTTAAGAGAAAGGACCAGGTTTAGACCGCCTCGCCACGGCCAGCTGGCCACCTTGGAATGTTAACCTCTCTGGCCTCAGTGTCCTCACCTGTAATGTGGGGATAATTGTACCCACTTCGCAGGACTGAGAGGATTAACCGAGGCCGTGCCTGGCATGCGCTCGGAAGGATTTGAGTCTGAGCCTCCCCCTCTCCTTCCCCCTCCCAGCTCAGCCTCAGGTCCCTCTGCCATTTCCTTCCCACAGCAGCTCCCCCAAAGTCCCAAATAAATTACGTTGGCATCTGAGGGGGGTGGGGCTGCCAGGCTGCGTGCCGCCCAGGCGTGAGGCTTTCCCCGCGCTCCTCACTGAGGAGGGGGTGTCGCCCCCCCCGCATTTGTGAGCGCAGCCTTCCTCCTCCCGCCACGGGGACTCCAAAACGGACCGCGAGAAGAACGCGCTGTCGGGGGTCAGTTCTGTTGCGCTGGTGGAGAAGGCAGAGAAGATGCAGATAGCGAAGACCCCTAAGGGCCTGGCCAGGAAGAAGGAGAAGGCAGGGGTTGCGGGGCTGTGGCGGGAGCCGGGGCACCCGTGGGGTGGAGGCGGGGGCCCGGGGAGCCCGTGGGGTGGAGACGGGCTGCTTCCTGACATGCTCCCTGGCCAGGAGGCAGCACATTCACGTCCCTGCACGTCCTCCTCAGGAAGTGAAGAAGGAGGAGAAGTCGGGGTCTGGGCAGTCACCCACACAAGGAACCCCAAAGAAGGACGACTCCACAAAGGCAGGCAAGGGCAGTAAGTGCCGCCGTCTTGTGGGGGGAATCAGCGTGGCAGGGTGCGGGAGGGGTGGGCGGGCCTGCAGCCTGTGCCCTGGGCTACCCCCTCCCCTCCGTCGCACCCCCGATGGCCCGTCTCCTGGACCGGGATGGGCAGCAGAGGCTGCCCGTGCACCCTGGCTCCTCTTTGCCCCGCAGAGGTGACGATCCCCGAGCAGAAACCGGCCAAGGGGAAGGGGCCCAAGGTCGGGAGCAAGGAGAAGCGCAGCATCCCACCGGAGTCGGAGGTAGCACGAGTGTCCTCGTCGTCCCTGTTGTCCCCAGCCCGGGGCTCGCTCCCACCCACCCATCTGGCCCCACCGACCTGGGCCTGCTGGGGTAACGGGGCCCCTGTCCCCCAGACCACGAGGCCCCGTCTCTGACCAGTGTCATCTCAGTCTGCTTCCCAAAGGCCATGGGCTCGCCCCGCCACGTGCACTTGCTCAGGCCACATCAGGGAGCAGCCCCCGAAGAGCCCCCCTGCAGCCCCGGGAGGCCAGGCCCCATGCTGTGCATCCCTTCTGGGCCATAGCCACCTTTGTCCACTGGGACTGCTGTGCCCATGGCTCTGCCCCTGCCAGCCCCCCAGCTCTGGGTGGTCGGCTGCCTGGTGGACCGTCTGTCACAGGAGCTCCCGCCCCAGGCAGGGAGTGGCCACTCCCCTGCTAGGGGTCCCTCTGCATCCCAGACGAGACCTCACAGGAGGAAGATCAAGGGAGATTTTGTGTGTCCTGCCGTTTCTCACAGGCTCGTGGCACTTCCTTCTCGTCCTGCCTTTGTCCCGCCCTCCAGTTCAGTTGCCTTGGGTGCCCCAGGTGTGAGGGGCCACCTGGCACAGCTGCTGCGGCTTGGTGCTCCAGCCTCTGACCTGCTTTGTCTGCGGGGACCTCTCCCCTCACCTTCCCCTGGGGACCAGACTTCAGCTCACAGGCCACTTCCTCTGGAGATGGGCGAGGTGTTCTCCTGTGCCCCTACAGTACGCTGCTCACCTCTGCCACTTGTCACACACCGCATGGCCTCTTGGTCTCCCTCAGTTGTTCCCTGAGGGTTTGGGCATGTTGAGTTTTGTGTCCCCAGCACCCACGACAAAGCTGGACCATCGCTGGTCCTCACACGTGTTGAACGAGAGGAGGGCTGGCCTGGTGACCGGCCCATCCCTGCTGCAACCTCTCTCCTCCAGCAGCTGGTGGCCGAGGCCACGGAGATGGTCAACCCCCTGTTGGAGCCCGCTGAGCACCGGGACGGGAGAGTGTTCATGCCGGGGAACAAGGCCCTGCTGCACCTCAACCTCCTCCGTGCGTGTGCCCGCCCGCCACTGCTCGCGTGCCCCGGGCCCCTGCCGCCCAAAGTCCCCAGCCTGACCCCAGAGCACCTGGCGCTCCCAGGGTGGAGGCCCTTCTGCCGCGGGGTGAGGGGAAGCCAGGCCCCGGGCCGGGGAGGAGTGGGGTGCAGGAAGACAGGGTGGAGGGGAGCCGGGTGCTGGGGGTCACGGGGTCACGGGCGGCAGCGGGTGGGCCGACTGCCCCCCCTCCAGGAAACCGCATCACCGAGGTGGGGCTGGAAAGCTTCCTGGCCACAGTGAAGTACCAGGCGCAGTTCTCCAAGTCCAAGAGCGCGGGCAAGGGCCCCGTGGGGCTGCTGTGGCTGTCCCTGGCGGTGAGTGCCCAGTGGACGCCCGTGCCCCGAGGTCCTAGCACAACGCAACCTGCACCTGTCTCGTGTGAGGTCACCAGTCCCTGTCCCTAACCTACCCTGTCCCGCGAGCCTTCCTCCCGTCTCCATCCCGTCAGCCGTCAGCCAGCCAGCCTGCCTTTTCCTCCTCCAGAAAAACTGCTTCTCCATGCAGTGTCCTGCGTACACCACCATCCAGGAGCTGCTGCTGCCCAGGGACCCCACCACCAAGGCCAAGCCTCGGGAGGACGAGGTCTCGGCGTCCTCCGGCTAGACTCCCCTCACCCCAAGTGCACCCACTTCCCTGGGGGGCCTGCCGCCCCACCTCCTGCGGGCCCAGTGCTCGCTTGCTCAGGCCACTCCTGTATTCCCTAGGGGACGTGTGCCTGATGTCCTCGACCTGAAGCCAGGGACACCCAGCCAGCACGGGGCCACCTGGAGAGTGAGGGAGCTGTCACTGCTGCCTCCCCAGGGGCCGCTTCTGGGGCTGCTGTCCACTCTACCGCCTGTCCCCACCTCTGGGCAGGTCCCACCTGGCCCATGCCTCCCCCCCGCCCCCCGTGCCTCAACAGAGACCTGCTCTCCCTGCACAGGGCGCCCTCGGCCGGTCACCTCGACTTCTCCAGTTCCGCCCACCCACGCGAGTCCTCATCCATCACCAGTGACTCGTGCCCTCATCCTCGTGGGGTTGGCACGCAGCACACGCCAGGCTCAAGGGGGAGCACGTTAGGGCCGAAGGGGGACCTGTCCCCTAGTCCCACAGTGAAGGCAAAGAGACAGCAGAGGGTCGGGTGGCTGTGTCTGCCACCGCTGGCTGCCAGGAGGTGGGAGCCTGCGAGAGTGTGGAGTGGAGGGCCAGGCCTTCGGGATGACCCTCCCCTCACGAAAGGCAACTTGTGGGTATGTGCACATCTAGGTGGCTTCTGTGCTGGCCTCTGTCCCCCTGCGGCCCAGGGAGCCCACGCCTGGGGGCAGCACGGGGGCCTGGTCGGGGCGCAGGGGCCCGTCTGTCCCCCATCCACACCGGCCGTACCGCAGCAGGTCCAAGGACCACACAAACCACCACAGATGAAGAATATTTAACTTTTCTTAAAAAAAAAAAAAAAAAAAAAAAACAAAAAAACATGAAAGGGAGAAAATAAGAGTATACATTATTTTAAGAGCGAAACAGTTATTTCCATATCTGTATTTTATATATTATATATATTTATATATGTATGTATATATACACCTAGCACAGTGTGTCTGTTCTATTGGTCGGTGGGTGCAGTGGCCCCTGGGGACAGTCCTGGATGAACTTAGGGGACTCCGGCCTCCAAACCCAGACCCCTGCCTCCTGGGGCCCAGTTTTGGCTCCGTACCTGATAGACGGTTTTCTGTAGGGAGGGGGTGGGAAGGGCGGACGTGGTGGGGGGTAGGACACACCCTGAAGATGAAGAGACTGTGGCCGAGCCACAGAGACCAGCCCCGGGGGACCGGGTGAGCTAGGGGCACAAGTAGACCTCCCTGTCCTCAGCAGTCGCGTCTGCAGCTGCCTCCAGCACCCCGAGCCAGAAACAAGGCGAAAGTCATTTACAACAACGAAGACGCCCTACGTACATATTTACAGGAACCACGGACAGGGACGGCTAAGCCCGGGTCCTGAGCAGGAGGGGGAGAAAGTGCACTCACGCAGACGCCTCCCCCTTCCTTGACAAGTCTGAGGGCGCCCTGCACACCCGCCTCTCAGATGCAGTAGGGGACCCGGGGCCTCGGGGGTGGGCCGGAGGGAGGGCGGACACGGACGGGAGACTCCTGGGCAACATGGCAGGCCGCCCAGCCGGTGCCCGGCCTCGGGCAGACCCTCGATGAAGATGTGGTGGTTGGGGCAGTCACGGTCTCGGAGACGGAGACATGGCTCTGTCTGCAGAGGTGTCTTCCAGGGCAGAGCTGGTGCCTGGGGGAGGCAGCCCCGCCCGTGAGGAGCCCGCCCTGCGGGGGGCCTACCCCTCCCCCACCACCTTGCCCTGGGAAGTTCTCGAGCTCCCGAGCTGAGGGACCTGGTGCCCTGCAGGACCCCCCTTCCTCCCCAAGGCGTGTGCCCCAGGCTGGCATGAGGTCAGCTTCACTCACCCTCCGCGGGGCAGGGCCCCGCTCCATGGCTGTCCCTGCAGTCAGAGGGCAGCGGTCCCTTCGCTGGAAGTGACAGGGAGCTGTCTGTCCACCCAGCTGCCTCGGAGTGGAAGCTGCCCACAGGTGTGGCACCGCCGGACGACTCTTCCCCAAGGGACCTGAGCAGCTCTCTGTGGGCCCGTTCCATGTCCTACAAGAGTGAGGAGCGTCCCTGAGGCCTGGGGGGGGCTGTGCCTGAGGGGCTGGGGCGGGGAGCCCCGGCAAGCCCCTACCTTGAGCCTGCTGAGCTTGAGGGTGAGCCGCTCGATGGTGTGGAAGATGGTGCCCAGGTCACTGAGAGCCAGGCCCGGGTGCCTCTGCTCTCCGCCGCCCTCCCGCAGCCGGGCCCGGGGCTCAGCTGGCCAGGCGGGGAGACTGTCGGGCGGGGAGGGGTCCGTCGGTGCCCCCTGGGCATCAACGCTCGAGTCCGGGGGTCCGGCTGGCATGCTGACATAGAAGCAGTTCCCTGTGCGGGGGCGAGGGGGGAGGTCAGGGGGCCTCGTGGAGGGAGCCCAGGCGCCCCCTGCTCGGCTTGGCCCACCCAGCCATCGGCTCCGATGCTCTCCTCCAGAGCCCTCCCCAGGGCGCCTCTGCTCCACGGGGCCCAGACGAGGACGCTGAGAGCAGGGCCAGGGTGGCAGGGCTGTGGTCCCCTGGGTGACGAGGGAGGGAACCCCATTCCTTGAAGGAGAATAAGGAAGCGGGGGCTGCTTTTCAGTACTTTCGGAAAGCCGCGCCAGAGGCCTTCACTGCACCCCACCTCGAGCTTTGTCAGCACGACCCCGCCCCACCTGCCGTGTCTCTCGGGTCCCAGAGAAACCCCAGCTCAGCAGGGGTTCAGACACTGGGGTGGGGGAGGACAAGGAGGGGCCCTGACCGAGCAGTGAGCAGAGGCGGATGCTGTGGTGCCATGCGAGCCTGTGGCCGGCGGCACGCTCTGGTGGCCGTGTGGGGGAGCCGTTGCCCGGACGCCGGGCCCTGGGCTCCGCATCCGGCTCCAGCCTGCGCACAGGCTGCTCACCCTGCCGCACTCGGAGGAGCCTGGGTGGCTCGGCTCGCCAGGGGCATGGCACCAGGCCTGGCCCTGCCGTTGGCCCCTGTGCTACCACAGGCAGGGTGCTGCCCACCAAGGCCACTTGGCCCTGCCCGGCTCCCAGGGGTGGTCGTTACCCGCAGCCTCTGCTCCGCCTTCCACTCCAGGTGGCTCAGGCTCAGACTGGCCACTCTCCGGTAGTTTGGGGACAGCCTCGCTGCCTGCCACCTCAGCTGCACCGATGCCACCACCACCAGGGAGAGCAGGGAACGGACAGAGGGAAGGGGGAGCAGAGAGAAGTGGAGAAAGGAGAAAGGGGACCCCGGTGAACGCGAGCTCGCCCGAGGGGACGCCCCAGGGAGCCACCCACTCACCGAAAGACGGAGAAGGAAGGTCAGTTCCCAGAAACCCAGGAAAGGGCAGAGCTAGGCCCCAGGGAGCGTCTGCCATCCGGGTGCTGACGGGGACCCGGCCCGCGGCCACCACCCCCCTCTCCTGCCGCTGCCCCTGCCCCGTCCCAGCCAGTCTCGGTCTCTCCGCCTTTGAGCCGGCCACACCCCCACAGCTGGGGTGCCCCTCTGCACCCTGTTCACGGCCACGTCCCGCCCCCTCGGGCCCCCACCAGGCCGCTAGCCCGCCTCTGCTCAGCGTCCCCTGCAGGGGCTGGCCGGGAGGACAAGCCCTGCCTTGTCCCGAGGCTCTGAGAAGAGCCTCACCTCTTCTGGGGACGGGAGGGCCGGGGAGAGGCACCAGCAGACTGACTGAGGCGGGTTTGTGCCTGGCAGGAGGTGACGTCCTCTGATCACAGAATCGAGTTCAGAGATGACTCAGGGTTGGCGCTAAAGTCACACAGGCACGAAGTGACAGCGCCGGGGCTGTGCACCTCGGCCGTCCAGCCCCGAAGCCCTGACGTGCCATCCACAGGCCTCTGCCCGGGACGCGGAGCCCGCGGCGTGGCTGTGGGAGCGGGGGAAGGGAAGCGGCGTGCGGAAGACCTGCCCCCACCCTAGAAGCGGGGCGTCTAAGGCCGGGCGGCCCCCATTTGTTTTACCTTTTCTCACGACCTGGTAGCTTCTCGCTGCCTCTGAGCCGGAAGCCTCCTCCTCTGGGGCGCTGTCCAGCTCCGGAGGCTCCCAGACCCCGGAGTGCCTGGTCCTTGGGGGCAGGTGTTCCAGGGAGCAGATGGCTGCTGCCCCGTGCTTGGCCTGGGCTCCCTCTGGCCCTGGGAGCTGGGTGTTGTCCCCTTCATCCCCAGTGGGAGCTTGCCCAGGGGAGCCTGGGTCCCAGGGGTGAGAGGTGACGCTGGCAGAAGCTGTGGGTGTCAGGTCGTCCTCGGGCGCCCCGGCGGCCTGTGGCTCTGTGGCATGGCCGGGCAGCAGCCTCCACAGCATCAGCTGGCGCAGGCTCTCCACTGCGGGGGGAACAGCAGTGGACACGGGGCGCTGGCTAGACCAGCACAGGACGTGCCCGCCGTGGCAGGGAGGGGTGTGGCTGCTCCCCTCCCGACCCCCAGCTTGCTGAGCCTGTTCTTGTCACAGGGCAGAGGTGGAGAGCTGCCACCAACCAGCTGGGGGCGGGGCGAGGTGACGACTGTGCCTCCGTCATCTCTCCTCAAGCACACCCAGGGAGGCTCTTCGGGCAGGTGGACGGTGGAGCCATGTCAGGTGGGGCCTGACGGGGTCTGGGGGCTGGGGGCGGGGTCCACGAGGCACTCACCGTCCTCCAGGGCCGAGTCGGCAAGTCCTTCCAGCAACAGAGGGCCTGGGAGGGGCAAGACGATGGGGTCCCTCGTCCTGCCACCCCTGTTCTCTCCATCCAGGGACACGGGCGGCGGGGGCAGGGGGCCCGGCTCCTCCTCGTCCATGCTGCCTGCGTGCTCGGGGACCTCTGGCAAGACGGGGTGCTGCCCTTTGACCCTCTGCTGGGGCCCGGTGCCTGCTGGGGATGGGACAGCGTAAGGCAGGGAAGGCAGAAGCCACGAGGGGGCTGACCCCGTGCCCAGCTTCGGGTGTGGGGCTGGGACGTCGGCTGATTCGTCCCACAACGTTCACTGCGCACTCTGTGGCCCGGCGCTGTCCCAGCTCCTGGTGCGTCCCAGCAAACAGAGCAAAGGCCCTGCCCCGTGGGGCTCACACTCCAGGGCGCAGCGCAGAGCAGCAAAGGCCCAGCCTTCGACTAATCAGGCGAGACGCGCCACAGGGCGTGGAGGCCGAGTGCTGGTCGCAGTGCTCAGCGGGCGGGCCGGCACGTCGCTGCAAAGGGGACACCCCCACAGACCTGAGGCACGCAGGGCCTCGGGGGGAACAGAAAGGGGGCCAACCGGGGAGCCCCGCAGAGGGAGTCCTCTCCAGGCCTCAGACTGAAGCCGTTTCAGATGAGGTCTTGGTGAGAAAGCCATCTGCCATCCGCCCGGGGGACCGTCTAAGCCCCCTGGAACCTGTCTGCACCCCGTTCTCCATCAGGACCCCAGGCTGGAGAAAGCAGGGGGGTCCAGACTCCCAGATGTCCCTCGGTCCCTCCGCTGCCGAACGCCTGTCAGCCAAAGGGCCAGCTGGTAGCCCGCTGGGGTGAGCGTGTCCACACCGCCCAGGCCTGCTTCCTTCCTGTCTCAGACACCCGCGTCCTCGCCCTGTGTCTTCTCAAACCTCACCCCTCCGGCCCTGATGGCCCTCTCCCGTCACCCTACCCAACCCCGACCACGGCCCCACCTATGCCTACAAAGGGACTGGGGCTCCCACGAGGTCCACTCAGGGACTCACCTCCAGGCAGCCCCTCTGGTTCCTCGTCCTCCAGCCCTGCCCTGGGGGCAGAAACAAGCGGTGGCAGGTCACTTGCTGGGCACACTGGTGCTCTGCCAGCCAGGCCACGAAGCCCCACCCTGGGCCCCTGAGTCTGAGCAGGCGCTGAAGGCGTAGGGCCCAGGGAGGAAGGCGCTGGGCTCTGGGGAGGAGGTGGGTGCTGGCCGAGCCTCTCCTGGCCCCCCGATTCCACCGCAACACCACTTTCGATGCAGTCTCCGTCATAGGTGGGGCGGGGTGGGGGGTGCCGTTGGGGACAGCAGACAGGAAGGGAAGGCAGGGGTGCAGGAACGTCCCCCACCTAACACCTGTCTGCTGAGACTGTCCACCCTGAGCTAAGGGTTCAGGAGCAGCAGAGAACAAGGGCTGGGCATGGGGGTGGCACCTGCTGGGCCTGGGGCTCTGGCGGGCTGGCTCCTGGGGGCCGGGGGCCGGGGTGGGTGGCGGGAGCTCCAGGG